CTCTGTGGAGAAGACACATGGAGAGAGGCTGATGGAGGCAGAACTGAGCCACAGGGAAACCCCTGCCAGCGCTGAGATACTCACACCACCACTGGATCCACAAGACCTTCCACCCACTGGCCTGTGGTCTTCCTGCATTCGGCATCGTTGCATGTGTTTCGTGAGTTTGAAGAGGACTTTCTAGACTGATATCAGACATATGGGCTAATATTGGATTTATGGACTTGATCTAGACTGGGCTGGGCTGCTTTCTCAATAGTCAACTGCTCTTGTACATAAACCTCTTTCTTACACACACGAGTGGCTATGAACTTGTTCCTCTAGTCTACCTAGACTAACACCCCCTCTTCTAGGCTGTCATCTTTATTTGAGAAGTTCCCAGGCCTTGGTCCTGCTAAGCCACTTGGGTGGGTTTGAACTGCCAACCTTTCAGTTAGCAGTTTGAGTGCTTGACTGTGGTGCCACTTGGGCTCCTTGGGTGATGATTGCAGCCTTGGAAACCCCGTGGGGCAGTTCTGTCTTGTCGCATAGGCTCACTGTGAGTTGTACTTAACTAGAGGCCCACAGAGTCGGTTTTTGGATATATTTGTGGGTTCAGTTTCTTTGGGGAATAAGGTTCCTTTTGTTATGCGCCTTCAGACTGTATCTGTGTGTGGTGTGTTTTAAGTCAAACCCTTTTGAGATATAAAAAGAGATTAGGCATAGAAAGAAACAAGCAGAATCAGCAAAGGCAGGTGTGACTCGGAAGATGCCAAGAAATGCTGGGCAGAAGGTTGGAGAAGCTGAGACACAGCATTTCCCCCTCGAGCAAACAGACAGAGCCTTCCCCTTGAGTACCCCAAATGGCCAAGCGCATAGCTGTTTTTCGGCTCTGCCTCACAGTGACCCTATAGAACACAGTGTTTCCCAGGCTGGACTCTTGATGGACGGAGACGGCTATGTTTTCCTCCCATTGAAGGCTTGGAGGATTTGAAACCCCCCATCTTTTGATTAGAAGCCCAGCACTTACTTAACCACTGTGCCACCAGAGCCTTTGGACTTCTGGCTTTCTCAGTGTTGAGAACATACATTTGGTTTGTTAAAGTCAGACACATGTGGCACCTTTGGTCTAGCTGCATTACGAAACCAGGTAGACAGCAGCCTTGCCCAC